TTTTTCTACATTTTGATTTTTCTTCTCACAAAGTTGTATTACATCAATTTTGAAATCAGTTAGTTTATTAGAGATAGATTTTATTTCAATATGAGATGAAATCTATTATTTATCGTGGATGAAGTAGCATGATTAGAAGCACTTGATCTATCTAAAACTAATGAATTTACTTCTCTAACCATCATCATCTTCTTAGCTTAATTTTATTTTAATGTTTCAACCTTAAAAGAGAGTTTTTTGTATCTCTTCTTGTTTTCAATTTTAAATTGTAAACCTCAAACATATTTAAAAACATTGTTTGTATTCTATTCATTGTAAATTTCATCACCTTTTCATACTTTTAAAACATCATGTGATCTTGAGTTTGATTTATAAGTTCTTTCAACAAAAAATTCATCTTCTGATTGTCACCTTGCTTCAACAACACTTGATTTTGATTTATAGATTCTTTCAACACATAATCTTAATTTCACTTTATCCATTCTTTCAACGTAAAATTTCATCTTCTCATTGTTACTCTTCTTCATTAACGTGATTGCACAAATTGAAATTTTGAAACTTTTATTAGAAAAAAAATTATCCATGAGATATTTTGTCAATATTTGCTATGTATTTATTCATATGTTTTTTCTTATATTTCTTGTACCATTTGACAGCTAAATACACTTAACTTTTTGACAACAACAAAGTTTCATTTTTTCTTTTTTCTTTCATTATTTTCTAAAATCTCTAACAATAAAATTGCAAGACTTTGGCAAGTTAATTTTTTCTATGAAAGTATAGATTGAAAATCAATCTAAACTTTCATTAAGTCATTTATGAAAATCTGTTGCATTTGTTTTTTTTATACTTTGCGTAATTCATGTTGTTGAAATTTCTTGCTGCATTTGATCTTGTCTTGTAAGATTGATTATTGTATTTGTGAAGTGATAATGGAATTATCCAATGAGTTGTTCATGATTATCTTAATTATAACTAAGTTTTGCTAATTTTGACTAAGTTTAGCCATGATGTCAGAAGTTGGAAAAATAACTAAAGTAGCTTTATAAGGATTGGGTGTGCATTTTCATTTTGTCTTCAATCAAATTCTAGACACCAAGAATATCTTACTTTCATTTCATGCAAATTTTGATTGATTTGACTCAGTAAAAGAAATTTTAATTGGTTAGACTATATTGACTTAGTGGCAAGTGTAGATTCTAGAAGTTTGAAAATCTCAAATGTCATGTTGTCACGTTTTGAGAATTAATGAAACATATTTGGATTATCTTTCTAAAAGTACAGTAGATGATAATTATCATTAATTACTATGATAATCTTTCAAAAAATTCTAATATAGAGTATGAGAATAACATCTCTATCAAGTTTAGAAAATTCATTGTGAAAATAATTGTGTCTTCAATATATAATAAAATTACACAATCTCGTAGAAGGAATCAATGATTGTTTGCAGTTCATTGATGAGTGTAGAGTTTGTATGAGAGATTGTTTGGATTACTGGCGAATTATAAATCTTTACCTTCTATAACCATGATGAGATTCCATCAAACCATTTAAGATAAACCTTAATGAAAGTTAGCCCAAATATCAGAGTGCTTATGGTCAAGATCAAGTTGCTTTGTTATTAAAAATGTCATACATAAAAGTGATGATTGTCATAAATTTCCATACATCTTCGTGTTATTTCATTATTTGTATATCTTTTTTGCAAAATTGAAATCAGTTATCTCCGAATGTCACTTTCAAAACTATATGCTCACTTTCATGTTGTACATAATTTTTTCTATGCCAAAGATTTTATAATCACATAAGTTTAGATGATATTGAATATAATAGCAGAATATTAACTTGATCTATGATTTCTTACATTTGTCTCTTATTTCACTTTGAAAGTTAATAAAAATCAATTCTCATTGAATTTGAATTTTGGTTATTAAAGTTTTGAACTTCATTTTTTCAATTTGTTGTTCCTTATTTCTTATTTTTATAAAGTAAAAATCGCATCTTTCATGATTTGTTGTTTTTTATGTTGCTCTATAATCATTTTTTTCAACTTTTTTATCATAAAAATGAATACATTCAGTAATTAGATTATATCAAGTGATGTTTTCATGCATGCTTTTATTCAATACACGTTAATTATACTTATTATTCAACCTCAAAAAAAAATATCACAAAAAGTAGAATTGATATCAAAAAGATTCTTTTATACTTTTACAAAGAAAACTTCACATTTTTTTTATCGATATATCATCATAGTTTCTACACACGTAATAAATTAGAATGATACATGTGATTCACGATTTAAAGCCATCTAACATTGAATATAAAATGTTTATCATACAATTTCAAATCTATCTTTAATCCATGATAAAAACTATGCATAACAAACTTAACTCCATCATTCAAGACATAAAATTTGCATTTCAAGATGTTACAATGTATATTAAAAAATGATCTGTTTCCATAAATTAAAGTTGAATGTTAAAGAGATTGCAGTTTTTTCATTGCACTATTGCAATTCTATCAAACATCTTCATATTTCAAGAGTTGAAATATATTTTTGTTTTTCACTCTACGTGTAGATTAGCAATCACTACTTGCTTCTATAAATTTTCAAGATCTAAACTCTAGCATCAACTTCTTGTTATTTCATGATAAATAATTCACATTCAAATAAAGAGCAAGATAGTTTTGATACCATAATATCATTAGGGCTTATGAGATTAATTCATTTGAAGATGATACACAATTTTAAAAATGAGGTATAGCTACAATGAATCTTCTAAAAAAATTTATATATATTTATTCAACAGATATAATGAGACAATATTCCAATTTGTTCATCAATTATATTTTAGTGGATTTATAACATGAAAGATAAATCTTAGAAGTATACGGATTGTTGGCATATCGCTCTTGACTAATATATTCAATCCTTATTTTAAAATCACACGGAATGCTGAATTGTTACGGTTAATTTATACATCAACTTTTTACATACAAGCATACATATGGTTAACTTGACACTCTTAAGTGTCTTTCTCAATATTTATTTAATAAACACATAGTGTTTTACGTATTTCTCTTAACTAAAACACTCAATGCTCATTTAACAAGCATATAGATTGTTGACATATCATTGTCAATTAACACATTTACTCTCTACCTAACAAACATAGAATTGTTGATATGACTATTATAAGGAGTTGAATACAATACAATTTAACTTGATCTTGAATATTATCTAGTTGATGTAGCATTTATGTAAATGTAGCATATTATTTGAAGCACATATAACTTTTATGAACAAGTTATACTTTCTTGAAAATCTTCGATGTATCATGAAATCAATTGTATAACAACATGAGTTTATTAGAATTCAATACAGTCTACAAAACATTCATTATATTTTTAAAGAAATGTTGCATTTCATTTAGATATGTAAATTGGATGAACAAGTTTAAGTTTTTTCAAAATGATTAAAAATATTATAATGATTTATCATAATAATCATCCTTAATCATTTGAATCAAATTGAAACCAAAACATCATGTATTCAAAGAATCAAAATATGCTAATATACATACAATCTGAAAATTGCACTTTGTACAAACGTCCATCCAATCGTCAATCATAGTTCATTGAAAATTAAATAAAATCGATTGATTTCTTTGCAAATTTAACACTACATTGCAGTTCTTTCATTATAAACATTAAGTGACAATTTTTATCCAGTACATAAAAACAATAAGCCTACAAAAAAAACAATCACAAGCAATATACATAGCAGTATTTCATTTTAAATCATCCCCATATGGCTTCAAGAAACCCATTATGGACTTAAAAATACCAATATTTAATTTTGTTTGACTTTTTTGTTTATAAATTTGATATTCACTGTGTGTGTTTGATTATAAAATGCTTCACGCTTGGCACATTTGAAATCTTTTTCAAAAGTATTTATAAATTCTTTTGCATCTTCAAACTTCAATTTTGATAATTTTTACTTTCTCTTCCACTTCGCAAAAGTTCAGATCAAACACACATCATATGAAATCTTGGAGTATTATGCTTCTGTTCCATATTAAAACTGTCATTAATCTATCAAATCAGATGAAAATTCGAATCTTGCAATGTACGCACTTTGTTTCATGCGTTTACCATTTTTAAGTCTTGATGCCCTGGTAAAACTGTTCCGCTAAGTCTACTTTGCGATATGTTATATCACCAGCCTACTTCAATCTTTGGATTTTATATGCTTAACCGAAATTGAATTCCTTGAAATTGAAACCAAGCAAACAGAATATACAATCCACTTTCTTCCGTTATCCATGATCTCCCTACCCTACCAATGTATGCTTTTATCACATTGAGAGAACTATCAATGCCACATTGGTAGATGTATACTTGTTCACAAAGATTCAATAATGATATGCTCCATGCACACTACGATTTGTTGAGGTGTTTGTGTTATGGGGAATATGATTATATGTATTTTTATGAAGTTGTAATGCAAATTTTACTACAGGTGTCAACCATTCAATAGTTCAGATTTACATCGTTATTTCAGCAAATTGATACAATAGAATTCTCTCATAATTCCAAATGCATCTAAATTTTTCAACTATGAGCTATGTTTGAGTCACAATTAACAAGATGTAGTTTCAGCATTTCTCACACATGCCACATGGAAGGCCGGACACAAATGTTTTCAGAGGTAATCTCATATTCTTACCTTCGATTCATAGGTCATTACAATATTAGCCTTCTTACTGCCCAGTATATGTGCAGAGTGAACACTCAAATATTCTTCAGGTATGTAAAGAACATTCACGTGTAATTTCTCTGTAGTGAACACTTGCTTTCTCATTGAGTTCACCACTGTTTGTAAATTTAAATTACAACCAAAAATTACTCGCAAATGTTACATCATTTGCCTTCGCGAACATTTTCTGCCGACAAAACATCATTCACAGATTTACAATGGATGAAGGTGAGACAATGTTTTTAGTTTCACGGCGCCAAATTCGCGACGATGGTAGTGTACACAGACATCCGCAACACCTGCAATGTAGTTGATGCGTAGGTTTGCAATATACTCCGAGGGGTTGACCTCCTACCTAACGATATACAATCGGGAGGCAGACCTTTAACCACAACCGCAAATTGGAAACATGTTTCTTCGACAGCAAGTTTTCAACAAAAGGGAGGGAAATGTCCTGCACACCTTTCATGATATGTCATCAAATTTCATAAAATTGTTGATGTCAAACCAACTGTTTGCAACACAACCTATGTTATATCCTTACAGCTAATCCAAAGAATTCTCGGATTTAGAATCTGGAATCTGGAATGGTGTCGCATCGATAATTTACAGGGTGCACAAGGGCACCATATTACATGAACAGATTCTGCGAATCAAACAATCTCTCGATCGTAGACAATTAGGTGGATTCGATGAACGTAAATGTTCGCAAGTGCACCGTCATGTACAGCAAGATCGCATCGATTGCCTAGTAGACTTCGACGTTCCATTGCTCTCCCTTCTTCAAGGTCTTCTTGTACTCGACCCAGTCGATGCCTGAAACCAAACAGCATCAATTATGAGAAAAAAAAAGCGTTCGGCTTCCCATCAACCTTGGTGTAACCTAAGAGAGAATTCAGGCAATCCCAGGTGTGATGTGATGAGTGGATTTGTCGACATACCGTCACGTGCGGCCAACGAGACCATGATATCATCAATACCCTTCTCCATGCCCTTCAGACCACACATATATACAAAAGTGTTGTCCTTCTGGAGCATCTGCCACAACTCCTCGGCGTAGTCGGCCATCCTGGTTTGGATGTACATCCTCTCGCCCTTAGCGTTGGTCTGCTCTCGGGAAACAGCGAAGTCCAGACGGAAGTTGTCTGGGTAGTCTTGCTGCATTTTCTCAAACTCCTGAGGTGGGATGAACACAGGTCAACATCATGGGGTGGTTGTCTCAGTAACACCGTTCGATAGGGGCAATAGTGTAACCAGGTGGGATTTACTTGATCGAATCCAAGGCGAAGAGATTTGAAAGTACCTCGCGGTAGAGAAGTGAGCTGCTTGTGGGGACTCCCAGGAAAAGCCACGCAAGACCTTGGAACTATATCACAAACGGCGTCAAAATATCAGCAATAGTGTCAACACCCTCAGCACTATTTCCTCAAAACAGAATTGCCAACTCGAACGAACGGTGGAATGAATCCCATCCAAGAAAGAAGTAGAGAGCTTGTACTTTGAGCTCAATTGACCTTTAGTCCTACTAAGTGAGACGAGTAGAGTATACCTTGTAGTCGTCGTGCTTCTCAAAGAACATGCGCCACAAGAACCCTCTGAACGGGGCGATACCGGTTCCGGTTGCGAGCTGCAATAAACATCGTCCATGCTCAATAAGTTCGTACCACGATCAAGCCGATTAAATTCAATTATTTTAAAGGAGAAGACTGGTGTTAACGACTTTGCACTTACCATGATAACGGTTGCCTTCTCGTCAGTGGGCATGAGCATCTCCTTTCCTACTGGGCCAGTGAGGTTCACCTTGTCGCCGGCCTTGAGGTCACCTGCATTACACCTCTTATCGTTAAGGAGGGACCATCAAATCGAGATCCGCATTTGTGAACAAAAGATGCCAGGCCGGCTAAACATGTAACAGATATCGAGAATTTGTAAGCAGACAAATTTTGTGGAGTGAACACTGTCCGTAAGAGGGTAAGAGAATTACAGAGGAAATTGGAGCAGACACCCTTCACCTCCTCACCCTTGTCGTTGGTGTACACGAGCCTCTTAACACACAGAGACACCTGTGAATGCCCAAGTATTAGGACAGAACATTACGCGAAATCATGATATGAGAAGGGCTAGAGTACAAACTAGGAAATAATACCTTTTCAGGAATTGCCTAAGTGACGATGGGAGAACCGAAAAATTATTTAGTTCTAAATTACCGACACAGAAGACGACCGAGACGGAGATAGAGGCAATATCTAGAGTTAGACTCATATGTGGAGGAAACAGGAGCTCATACTATGAATCGTAGTGTGTGGAGATAGTCCTGGCGCAAGACGTGAGTGAGTGGCTGTACTTACAGTCTTGTAATCGCCGAAGTCACCGGGTGCGCTGCTGGCAATGGAGTACAATCTCAGCTTGTGAGGCTTACCCTTCTCGTCGACGCCTGGTGGGACAACACCGACTGATTGGCCCTCTCTGTAGGGAATTTTTCCTGCGAAATTCGGAACACTGACTAGATTAACATCGACCCAAGTGAGAAAACGAATCTTCTAATACGAATTGGCATTCCCGATCACGCTTATTAAAATACTGGAGATGCACTCAAAAGGATAGAGACTAGGACTCGGATCATGAAAGGACGCGACATTGGCCAACATGGCCACAAATTCCGAGTAGCATCCTATCTAATCCAGTCGACATCAAAGAAGCGCACACGTTTGCGTCACTCCATATGGGGTTTTCAAAGCAGGGGCCCACCATCGAATCCTGTAATTTAGGGGCTGATTATCCTATCTCAGAATCAAACAGACCATAGCGCGAGTGGAATTGCTATGGGGGAAACGTACCTTCAGTGGAGAAAACCATGTGGAAGGTTTCACCGGGAGCATCGTCACCAACAATCTTGCCATTGGTGAGGCAGATACCTTCGTACGGGGTCTTAGGCTTGTACACATTCGTAACGAGCCCGTGCTCGTTCTTCTTGGAAACCTTGGCCTCCTTCACGGCTGGCTCGGTGCTCACAGTCTGGGCAACGACAGCAGAGTCTCTCACGCGGAAACCAGCAGACTTCTTGGCGGTCAGCGCCTCCACATTGCCACAGAGTCCGTTGCTGGAGAATCCAACCTGCCAAAATCCAGGACTCCAAAATCAATCGCCATCGCCCGCTTCACACGCATAATCCGCAAAGCCACGAAAATCGCCCTCACAAAAAGTACAACAAACTGGAATAAAATTCTCGACCAAACACCTCCACGAGCTAAAAAATCAGCGATCGTCCGCCCACCACGATCGCGAGCAAAAGGGCCAAAAGCGGGAGCATTTCTCGGAGCACAAGCACTCTCATAATAATGCTTCACAGTCCATACCCGTTGGGGAGCAGCGGAGCGGGAGGTCGGGGCGACGGTCGAGACGTTGGCGAGGCCCGAGGTGCGCGGCACGGCAGCCTGGGCGAGAGCGGCCATGACTGCAGGCCAACGTTCGGACGAGGGGCGGAGGGGAGCGGGGCGGAGCGGAGGCGCGTTGGGATGGAGCGTTACAGGGAGGATCGAAGAGCTGAGTTTCGGGGAGCGGGAGGCCAATTGAGCTGGCCTGAGCTGCTACGGTGGCCACTCGCTAGGCCCGGGGCTCTCTCCGTCTCCAGTGACCGATCCGCTTGGCAGGAATCGGGGCGCGGAGTCGAGTGGCTGGAAGGCCGGATCAGGTTATCCTTCTCGTCTCGGGCCCTGCTTTGCTTCTCACGGCCCTCTCGTGCGCGCCTCTCGCCACGTGGTCTGGCCGTCGGCCACCCCTTTTCCCTCTGCTTCCTCCTCTTACGGGCCCGGCGCTTATTTGGCCATGCACGGCCACTCACTCCTCACTCACTCACTCCCATCACTTCCCTTCGCTTTCTTCGCAGACCCGCAGCTCCGCCCACAGCCTTGTGACGACAAATTTTGACCTTCGGGCTTCCTTCGAGTCCGCTCCAAGAGGCCAATGAGGTTCTTCCAAGTGTTGCCCTTCCGAGAGTGCGTTTCTGTCGGACTCCGCGAGGGGAGGGTTTCGATTGATTGAGCCGGCATTCGGATTCGCCATGCCCCGAGGCGTTTTCGTCACCGATCGAGATAGATGACAATCTCCCAGGACCGATCAGTTGGAGAACCGGATTCGTTTTCGATCGATCGACGTTTTGTGGCCTGCTTCAGTTTTGGTTTTGGGAATAGTGAGGTGCCCAGTCGCATATCAGAGATGCAATGATGCACAGTACCCGACAATAGGAAAACATATGTGCTATCAACGAACGATTTAATCTGGTGGGCTGCTTAATCCTTCTTATTTACAGAACATACACGCAAGCGGGGTTCTCTCGGGAATCACGCTGGGAATGGTTGGACGACTGCAGAGTGTCCTACCCGCCATTTCTTACGTTTTTCTTCACTTTACCGGAAAAACTGCTCTACGTTTTACTCCAATTGTAGCACATCGGAAGCTGTATCAAAGTGCAGGACTGCGCTCATATAATTCCGTACTGTTCCTCATCCTTTCAAGTTGTGACGCAAATCGTTTCGTTCTGTTCGAGATTTGCTGCACAACCAATATCGGGTCGCATTCATGCCGCGTTCTTAGAAAATCGCAGGCTTACTACTGCTACAAGTGACATCAGACCTGAACATTGTTTATTCACGACGAAGCACCAGACTCCGTCAGAATTTTAAAATGAAATAACTCTTACAATGCTTTTTCAAAGCAGCCGGTTACAAGGATCTGTGAGGACAGGTGTCCTCCGAGTGTTACTTCAATTGGCCAAGATTACAAGGCACTTAGCAGTTATTTGAACGCCGTGATGAATTGTGTGATAAACGAGCTAGATTTGGATGTGGAGACAGTCACCATCCAGTGGTATTCATCCATCCAGCCAAAAGCATTTCAAACTTCGCAACATATAAAACACTGAAACAATTACTCCGCCCTCACCAGACTTGCTTTCCATCTGCCTACCCTTTAAATGCACCTGCTATTGAAATTTTGCTCCCTTGACTACTTTGCACGACCTTCATTCGTGATTGTGACGCAAGACGTCCACTACATGAAGGACATCCACCCTGCTCCCATGCGATTTTCATGATACGAGAATAGAATGATGTCAGTCCTAGATGCATCTGGCATTTATTCCAGGTCCATTCAAACACCAAAGTTTGACAATCATTTTCACTGGACCAAATTACACGAGCTTTGACATCTACAAGCTCTTCCCTGGCACCTGATTCTTGTACTGTAATGAGATTACCTAAATAGTGCTCACATTTCGTAGGCAAGAAGCAGTTCCGAATGTAGCAACAGCAATTCGTTGCGAAAACTGGCTTTAGGCGCGTTTAACAAGTGAAACAAGAGGGAGGGGAGGAGCAGTGTGAACTTCTTAGAGATGATCCAATCGTACTTGAATGACTCGGCACACAGTCGTTTTCGCGCAATCTTGGTCTGATTGTGACCTGGCTGCTGTGAATCAGAGTCATTGTTACAGTTTACTGTTTCAATGCAGTGTCAACCAGTGGTACAATTTTCTGACCTGCAGCACAAGAGGTTCTACTCAAAACCTATTTAGAATCCAGCCATTCATCAGAAGTGCATATATTTTATTACTTTCAATATATTAGCTTAGGTATAAAATTCACTAACTTGTTGACCTGAAAAGAAGGATCTAACTCTTCAAAACTTGGTTCTCGACATGAACCTCCACAACGCTGATTTGACATCGAGGAGTCTCAAGTATATGATAATTTCCGGAGGTGGATAACCACCTATTCGTTTACCTGGAAGGTGGAGAAAAGACCCAATTAGACGAATCCAAGTCACATCACGATCTGCTGATACTCCCTATCAAACCAGTCTACTTCGTCGCGCACAGATGTTTAGCTTATATCCATCTGATGGCTGTCGTAATATGGATATCATAAGATGAACTGAGCTCCTTACCTGTATTCACCTGTATACATTGTCCTTAGTTTGGAACCATGACGCCCTAGAGTCACCAGGTTTCATAGTTGCTCACTGTGTAACTTGCTTCCTTGGCCAGGCGGGAAAATAATAATCATCCTCTTTCTTGTAAGCACTGCCACTGTCTAGATCTGATTTCTCACTCAGAGCTTCCTCTATTTCCTTGTCAACAGGATGTGCTTCAAGAAGCAAAGAATGAACTCTCCGGACGAGCTGAAGATTACAAGTGAAAGGTTAGTATCTAAAACTAAGGGCAATACAGCAGGAAGACCACTGGCTTGAAGTTGGCACACATACTCATAACTTCATAACTTGTCTACGGGCGAACAAACGGTCTTACCTCATCAATTCCTTGCCCTGAGTACACGGACACCCAAAGGGCACCTTTGGGCCCAGACAGTGCGTAGGAATGCAAGTCATCGACTTCCAGTGAACCATCGGTGGGTGGAGGTGGAAGAAGATCAGCTTTGGAGACCACGTCCAACCACGGCCGATCAGCAAATCTCTCTCTCATCTCGTTATAAATTGCAAACTGCAATGATAATGAGAAACAGACCGTACTTCCAAAGTCAGCAACACGAGGTACTTCCTGTATAACTGGACAGGGAGAAGAATCTAGCCACACTAACGGTTGCTGTTCGAGATGAGTCTTTCCTTTTGTACTTCCGAACTTGAAGAGTAAAATTACTCACTGAGTTGAGGCTGAGGCATGAAGAAGTTCATGGGCTATAATTCTTGAAACATGGCATGGAACCAATGAATGGCTTGACCGGAAAAATGTGCAATAAAGAGAATTCAAGTGAAAATAAGGCAAGTCCACTCACCTGGTTCGGTACAGTTGTACCACACTCTCCAGTCAAGTCATGCACGTACAGGACAGACGTAGGCAAATGTGCAAGAGCAGCAATAGTCAACTTTTCGATGTTATTCCTTTCGTCTGCAAGAGATGAACCTCGTTAGTTACTTCAAAGCTTAACCACTGAGTTCATTATAGTCTGTTGTCTTTGTAGGTAAATAACATGGGCTCCGAGTAATAGCAACCATGTGCTCAGGCACTCCACTACTGACCAAAGACGACTCTTCATGCAACCCAAACCCGTCTGAATTTGATTATTAAAGATTGTTTAGGTAATGATGATCTCGGTAGAAGATAACATAGCATTCTTGATTCTAGCCAGCAAAAGCAGTAGCATTAGCATCATCACTATATCCACCTAAGTGTCCATGTGACTGCAGCTTAGCTAAACCTATGACTCAAGCTGCACTAACAATCGCGCAAAATGACTGAGTGTGCATCAAGAACGCGTGAGTGATGCCAACGTTTAACACATTAAATCAGAAAGAATTACCATCTGGACGCTTCAGAAGTCCAGGCGTATCAGTCACCTGCAGAGGGCGTATATCGACCGGACACGAGTGAAAGGAATCAGAAACCAAAGAATAAAACTAAGGAATCAAATAAAACACTGCAGCCTCTGTGAGCAGTACGAGGCGTTAACAAAAGATGCATACCTGAAACCTTCGCGATTCAATCTCAAAATGACCCATTGATATGCCTCTCGTTGTAAATGGATAATTGCAAACCTGCATGAATAGCGAGGCAACAATTGTAATTTAGCACATCAAGGTTAGGGACACAAGCAAACCAGTAAGATATCAGGATGTTAAGTATAATCTAGATAGATATGACCAGACTTTTCACACATTTGCGTAGTTGTGACCTTACAAAGAACATACTTCCCAGAAAATGATGTAAAAATGAAGAGGGATGATGATTTGTTCTAAAACAAATAGTTGTTAAAAGATGGACAAGCAACTCTACACAAAGCACGACTTCCCAAAAAATGATGTAGAAAGGGGAGGGATGTATGATTTGTTCTATAACAAATAGTTGTTTAAAGATGGACATGCAACTCTACACAAACCCAAAGATCAGAAGAAATGTTGTAAATCATACCTCAGGCTTGCCGGACGATAAAATGCGAACTAAAGATGACTTTCCCACATTGGGTGCTCCAACCAAGCAGAGGGTTGGTGTACGGATGCGTACTACTGGCATTGCCCTCAAGGTCTGTCAAATAAAAAAACTGACGTTTTCAGACTTGGTGACCCATACGGCGAATGTATATTACGCTCCACGACACAAGATGTATACCAACATACCAGGACGAGTGTTTTGTAGCACTGAAAAATACCATCGGATAGAACGATTCTCACAGCTTTCAACACTTTCAGTGCACTTTCCGAACAACAGAACCAGACGCTCAGAGCCACAATTGCAGTGAGCAGGCATTATATGAAAACCGCAACCCAAGTGAAACAAGGCTCTCCTGAATCAAGCATGGAGGACACACATACGGGGCAAAATCTATAGCTAAATGGTAGAGAGGGCAGAGCACCACGACGTCCTCTTCCTTCTAGCTGGGGGCTAGAAGGAAGAGGACGTGGAAGAGTATTAAGCTATGGAAATCAAGAGCAAGAACATTTGATTGTGCAGCTCGTCAAAGTGAAGAGGAAACTACTGCTACTAGGTATACATATACTTGTGAATGAATTGTCGAATTTCACTGTTAAAACTGACCCTCTGCCTAAAAAGTCTTCCACTATATGAAATTCCAAATTACAATCAAGGTAGTGATTCTGAGGAGTCCGACACGATGAAGACTAACCTTTGCGTGTTCTTTCAAGTCATCCACTGCTTTGCCCTGCTTTTTGAAAAGCTCCTCTAATCTTGAAAAACCCTGAGGTACAGAGAGGATTCTCATCTCGTATGTTCACAACTTCGGAAGTTGAAAGTCTGGATCACTTTCTTTAAAATTATTCTTGACAGAGTTTTCCAGTGTAAAATTTGCTTTAAGCTGCACCCTAGGTTTGACTGGTATATCTCCTAATGTCTATACACGACATAAAATGAGGCCTCAGATATCCACAACCCCAAGGCAAGGATTATCCTGCTCTTAAATGAAACAAAGTGAACGTAAGTATATGAAAGAATAAACAAATATGTATAAAATGACTCGGAAAGCACCTCCTCCAACCGCTCCTCTGCCTCGGCTTTTGTTGTTGACTGTTGTGTAAAAGAAGACAAAACGATAAGTGAGCACAGAGTTTACCAATCGGTAGAATTGATGATGGGTCTGAATCAATGGCGCTTGCTCCCATGTGATAGATGACTCTTTCGCAGTGGGTCAATTCCTTGTATTGCTTGGTGAATGAAAGCCGACGCCAACAAGATCAATTACTCATCGATTGACGCTCTCAAAATAATGAAGAGAAAACGTGAACAAACCTTGGCACACAAGCTAGCGTAATTTTTCCCCAAATCCAGTATCTTTTTCCGCAAAAGATCAACCCTCGCGAGGACCTACAAGAACCCCATCCAAGTCAGCAAGTTTGACTACACTATCATATACTACTGCTTGGGTTGACGGCAAATCGTGGTGACTTGTAGAGATTAAGTATACAGAGTTTCCAATGAATCAACTTTCACTAACTCAGTGTGGTAAGAGACACAAAAACCACTAATCACTTTTACAGGCCAAATTTAAAAGGAGTCGACTGGAGTGGGCTCTACTAGCAACTGCACCTCTTCATACATGCCATCCCCGAGTGTGAGTTCTAGGAGTGCTCTCTCGTAAGCATGCAAATGTCGTCTTTGTGGAAACTTTTGGAGATATAGTCTAAGAGGTGTGGTCAGTTCCTGCAAAAGAAACGAGGACGTGTGATGAGCAGAATGTTAATAGATGGCTAGAAGCAGAAGTAAAGACGAAAAAGACCTAAACCTGAAAGTGCAATCAGAAGAGGGAGGACTACAAATCTTTCGTAGTTTTGACGTGAACAAAGTCTGAATTTTGCAATTTTGAAGTCAAAATATTCCAAAAATGATGAATAAATATAAGATACATTATCGAGGTGGCATCCGTCAAAGCCAAACCTTTATCAACGCATCCAGCTGCTTGGCGCCTTTATTACGCTCTCGCTTCGCAGCATTAACGATACCTGAAGAGAAATGAACCCGTTGATTCCTTAGCTAGCATGTTTACAATTATGCATTCTTCCAACACATGAATCTTCCTGATTCAGATATTCTCGAAATTCACATCCGGGTCAGGGATGTGATTCTTTTCCCCAATTAAAAGGAAATGCGCAAGAATACCTTTAGTAGCCTTCACCATCTTCGCTCTCCTAAGGGCCGAGACAAGAATCTCATTTGCCGGAGAAACCATGGGCAGCTGCTGAAATGCGCCCAACTTTTGTTCTCTACTGGCCTGCATTCAGAATACATAACCACGATGTAAATAGCAAACAATTTTCCACTCAGCCAACAAGAATCTCATCAAATTTCTACCCGCATTCACACATTGAAGAGCAAAAGAAACAGGAAAACCGTATCATGCCAGACGAATTTAATAACTCTGCAAAGGAAGAGATAATCGCACCATCTGCTCCACCTGAGCTGAAGCAGAGGAAACCTCCGCCGTTTGTTGCTTTCCATTGGATTCTGTGGTGGAATTAGAATTGGCCTGCTCAATGGGTGAAAGGCGCTCAGCAGTGGTGGAACAGCACAGAGTTCTAGCTCTGGCGGTCCTGAATGACGATTCTACGAACAATCTCTGCTCTTCCTTCCGGGCTCGTCGGAGACAGTGCTGGAGGTTGGACGAACGAAGATTTGCGGGCGAGGGCAGCGACGAGGAGGAAGTCGGGCGACAGTGAGCGAAGATTGTATGCAGCAGAGGACGCGACGAGGCCGAGAGCGACCGAGGCAGGGCTAGAAACCCAGTGGCCATATCCACCAAATTCACAGCTTCTTCGTTTCTGCTCTCCTCTGTAGCAGCATCCTCTTTGCAGTCCCGGTCCGAGCAGAGCTGTCGCGGTGCGCAGGCGGCCTTGCGCTTCGCAGATTACTGGATTACAGGGACATTCTCATGCCTCCTACTTTCCGTTTTCGGTTGTGTATGCTTGTCGGATTCGATACACATCGTATCTCAAAAAAATTCATAGCTCCTTATGCAAACGTAGACAAATGTGAATTATAAGAATGTGAATTATGAGAATAAATGGTGCTTATCACCATTCATTCTCTTATTTTTCAAACGTCAACAAGAATGTAAACATGGAAGATACATCTCAGTGAATCATTTTCTCCTTGAAGACCCAAAATTATTCTGCTAGATAGTGCCCATTCATTCTCATTCTTCACTGACGTCAACAAGAATATGAACATGAAAGATATATTTGAGTGGTTCATTTTCTGCTTCAAAAACTCTAGGTTATTCTACTAAATAATGTCTATTCATTCTCACATACACATAGAAGATAGCTGCCAACCTAAATTGAAAAGTTTCAGATAATTGTATACAAAATTATCTGGTTTATAAATTCAGTTGCACAGAATTCAGTTTTAGACTAAAATATTACTAACTAATTATATGAATGTGAAGTGAAAGTGAAATATGAACCATGCAAGAAATCATGAAGCAAACAAGGCAACAAAAATGCTCAAACAAATATATCTTCCATTCATTTCTTCAATATTGTAAAAAATACATGCATCTTCCATAAATGTATTTTCAAATGACATGATTATTATTAATCAATTAAGTGTGATACATGATGCATGAAATGAAAAAATTAATAGAACTTTGTTAGTTTTAAAAAAATTTGATACACATTTGATATTTTTCAAATTATTAGAACATTCAAAAATCTGATCACTCAAACAAAATGAAAATTTTCAATCATTTTTTAGTAATAATTTTTATTCAATATTTCGTTATTAAATTTAAAATCTAGTTCTTGAAAGCATAGAAGCTTGTGATAAAATCGATTTCTGACAATGAATTTAACCGAATCCACAAAATAGGATTTAATATATTATTTATAGGATAAAATATTTTTAATACATATGATTATTTTCAAGAATAACTCAAAGTTAAATATCATATTCATTATTAAATTATAATCAAATAATAATTTTATTTCCGATACAAATTTATTTAAATCAGATTAATTTTATTTATATTTTTTTATTCTACTTCAAATTTGCACATATTTTTATTTTTCTATCTATAATTCCAATATTTCTCACAATTTACTTGTTCAAATCAGAAAGAAAAAAATGTGGTGTCATTTGATATCTTAAATAATCATCTTTATTATTATTATTATTAAATTATATTGTTCTTATAAAGTGATTTTGCCCGTGTAGAAGAAGTATAATTTAATGATATTAAATTCTTAAGAAATTTTGGGGAAATAAATCTTTTTGGATTATAATGCTTGAAGAGCTTTTTGGCTATAAATTGTACGTAATATGTGATTTACTACTATTTTTCAAAAAATTTGCAAATATTTAATATTCTCCCACTATAAATGTGAAATACTTTACTTCAATCTAGATACTAACATCTGTCTTAGAATTTTACCAGGTAAAATAATATTAACGCGCTTAAATGATTGCAAATATACATATGAATTTTTTTTTAATTTTTTTATTTCAGATGTAGATAAGATACCTAAGAAATAATTTAAGTTGATATTTTTATCAAAATGAAGACTTTGATTATAATTTGAAGAAATATAAAATTATGTAATTTGATTTTCTTGTTTGACATTTTAAAATTAAAAAGTTGACGTTTCATTTGTATCAAATTGCAAATGTTTGTTAGAGTCCAAATTTCTTAGAGTTTTATATTATCAAAACTTTAAGAAACACCATATATGAATATATATGGAGGTGTTAGTTATCACTCACTTTGGGTTAATTATACCTCACATTACATAAGTTATGTGATTGGTGAGAATTGCTTATGATATCATATTGGACAGGAAATGTAGTGTTTGTAGTGTAGGGAAAAGGGTAGAAATAGTGCATAGCATGGGAGCATTAGAGTAGTGTGAGGTATAATCAGCCTAAAGTGAGAGCTAACTAACCGCTCCCATAAATATATATAATTTATGACGTTTGAGCACAAAATATCTTATATACAAAATATACAAGATCTAAACAAAATATTCATATAAAACTTCAAGCACAATGTGAAAATAAATAAGTTTAGATGTACCTAAATGACATTTTTGAACTAAAATCATAATTGTTAAGGTATCCAAACTTAGTGTATGCTGATCATCAATCTTATCATCATCACAATGAACATTATCAATCCAAAAATAATGATGTCATTTATATCAAATCAGTTTATTGTTTTTTTTATCTTTTCAACGTTAGATATGATCAATATAGCATGAAAGTGGACAAAGATTTAATGAAAGTGGCACCCGTGTTTGCTTGGTTTTGTATACTATGAAATTCAATCAAGCAATCTAACATTAAAAAGTAATGTTGTCTAGATACTTTCATCAAAGATATGAGGCAATTTATGTTGAGGTTAAACTATGTTAAAGAGTAATCTCGACACTAACTAAGTTTAGCTAGGAAACGTTAACAGGAGGTATTTAACCCCTGGACTTTTTCAATTATCAATTGCGTTGTGATTCTCTACCATGGACGTAGCACTCAGAAGTGTTAACCACATTACATCTTTGTCAATTCGTGTTTCACTTTCTCACTCATCTTCGTGATGATTGTCAACACAAATCCACATGAATCTAGAGCAAATATTGTAAACCAAGACACATGAGATTAAATACCACTTCCATGACTAATGTGATGCATGTCTCCTTAAAATAATATTACCTATATCAATAATTTTAGATCTATATCTCTCCCTTGATAAGAAATAAATAATTAAATTTACGTCTAGGAGTCTTTGAAACACTTGCGATAATCATTTATGGCAATCATGTGGCAGAACTTCGCCATTCAGTCAAATCATCGATGGATTCTATGAAAGGTAATACGTAGACTTTATGAGAGTCTAAATCTTGAGTACATAATTTCTTGGTTCATTCCATCTGTCACATTTTCCAATTGAGTCATATAAAGTGGGTGGCATGTGCTAGAATGATATTTTTCTTCTACGCAACACTATTAACCCTCATGGATCCAAGATTTTCATACTTTAAATAGATAATGAAGTGTGATCATGAATATTCTGTCATCCCTTGAATTGTGAGAATCTATGTTCAAATCCTCTCTCTTGGTTGACATAAGGAAGAAACTATGGGAATAATGTACCGTGCAGTACACAAATTCTCCATATATGTGTTCTTACTGGGAGTGTCAGGGTATTCGACTAGCAAAGATATTTACATAGACCGATGTAGTTAGTTCATACACAGTACGCAAACCTTGTTACTCTAGATCATATGAACTCGCTTTTCAACGTTATGAAGCTATGGATCGTTATGAAGCTAAGGACAAATGGACGAGTGGATGGTTTACAATGGATGCAGTGCACTCAAAACGATGGACATTCAATAACTAACTCGGTTTTTGTATCCTCAAGATGTAATCCACGTCAATGCCTTGGAGCCCTTTTAAGCTGTAGCAAGCTTTACTCAGATCGCTGGCTGCCATGTTCTTGTGTTTTGGGAACATGCACAAAAAGCGACTGCTCTACTTCATCCATAAGTCTCCCTGGTTGCGAAATCAGACTGTTTAATAAAAGTAGATCTGAGAATTCTTGGAGACAATTTCATTTCTAACAGCCCTAAACTTAGTAAATTGAATTTATTGATTTATCTCAACATCCCTGCATTTCAAAAAAAAAGATGTGAAGGTTGCGGCCTTCAAACCTTTGCTTGGATGGATCGATTTCTGTGAAGCTGCCGAGTACCACAACGTGGTCATGTAAATCGCGTCGCCTCGCAATGCTTGCGCTTGCTCACATGCATATCAAAACCTTATCCAAGGAATATCTCAATATGTTGGTTACAGCCATATCTCGAAAGAGGGATGTCTCGATTCAGAAAAAAATCATGTGTGCATAGACATGGAGACATAGCATAGACACGGTTGGTTTATTTTTGTAAGATGCTCAGATATGTGGAGTGGCTTTTAACCATCGCGAATCCTATTTGTAGGAAGAACACCTCCAGAAAGTGGATACTAAACGGCACAGTCTTTACGGTCTCAGGAAGTACGGTACAGTACTGTTTCGCTGACTGGGGTCAATGGATCCAACCGGCTTGGAGGACCGTGGTCATAACCGGAAGAGAGATCGTGCTAAAAAGCAGAATCCCTCGGTCAAAAGGATGTCGCTAGTGGATAAGACGTGGAGAGGTTCACTGTGGGCACTACGTTGTTGTTACCCTGGAGTCCACTTATTTGGCCGAGGGGCCAAGTTCGCCGGATGAATATTTTCTGTGGACGATCGGCAGCCTCCGTGGCTTCGTCGTTGACTTGCGACATGCTGGGCATGGAAGGCGCTGCCAACGAAAGAGGCGTTTTCATTCACTTTTCATCGGAGCTCCAGTTGAAACATGCACGTACTGTATGATCGTCGTGATCTGGTGGAATCTCCGAGATAGAGTGAATAGTATGAGGATTCCGGACCTTGACAACCCGAATTACCAAGACCGTAAGGTGGCAAAAAGTGCCAAGTGTGGATTGCTGGCACGTACATCTCTAGGTACAACCTGTCCTTCCTCATAATCTCCAGGTACAATGCGGTGCACAGTCTAGGTTTTAGGCTATTCTCTCATTTCCGGATCGGAGACATAATGACAGTTCGATCACCGATTTTTTGGGAATGCTCTACAATGCACAGGCACGCATGCAACCGATAGCGTTTGATGTACATGCAAAGCGCGAGCGAGCGAGCGATCGAGAGAGAGAGAGAGAAGCGGACTGATTCTAGAGACCTTGAGTTTTCTGGATAGTTAGGCAAACTTGAGTTGCAGTAACATGAAACCTGAGCTAACAAGAAGTTCCTTGTTCTCTGTTTATTCTGTGCCTTGAGTCGAATTTGACATCTCGTGGGATGTAGT